ACGTTTTGCGGTTTCTGTGTCTCAATGGGTCCTGCAGATGGTGTGTCCCGGACAGGCTCTGGTTGTGGAACAGGAAGTACTTACTCTTGAGAGCAAAGAGGCCACAGAACGTGTTCCTCCTCACAAGAAGGTGTCCAGGTTCTACATCTGGTATGTCATCGTTCCATGGAAGGATGGGGAGTTGCGTCCGATTCTAGGTCTGTGCAGACTGAATCGTTCTGTCAAAACGATGCTGACGTTTAAGCAGGTCATGACTCAAATCAGATCCAAGGACTGGTTTGTCACCAGAGAGGATGCATACATCCATGTTTACATCCTTCCACAATACAGGAAGTTCCTGAGGTTTGCTTTTGGGGGCAAAGCATTCATTCTTCCTTTCAGCCTAGCACTGACACCTCGCACTTTCACCAGTGTGTGGATGCAATTCTGGCTCCTCTGCACCTCCAGGTCATCTACGTAATGAATTACATCAATGATTGGTTGATATTAGTTCAATTAGAGCAGATGGTGGTTCGGCATCAAGATGTCATTCTCGCTCACATAAAAGAGCTAGGGTTAAGGCGGAGGAAGAGTGTGCTTTCTCCAGTACAGAGAACCACTTTTGTCGGTGTTGTATGGGTTTCAACAATGATGCAGGCACATTTGTCTCCTGTTTGTGTTTTTTGAATCCCACAGTGGTGAACAGTATGAGGCTAGGTCAGTCACTCACTGTAACACAGTTCTAGAGACTGTTGGGTCTGATGCCAGTAGCATCCTACATGAAATCTTTTGGCCTGCTGTACATGAGACCTTTTGAAGTGGTGGCTCAGAACCAAGGGATTTTCCCCTAAAGGCAACCCGCTTTGCATGATCAAGGTCGCGCGGTGATGCTTACGTGCCTTAGAGACGTGAAGGAAGCCTTGGTTCCTGTCACAAGGCCTGGTGTTGGGGGCTCCTTGTCATCATGTAACGCTAATGACGGACGCCTCCCTCACGGGCAGAGGAGCAGTCATGAGTGGCCACTCTGCCCAGGGTCTGTGGGAAGGCCACCATCTCACGTGGCACATAAATTGCCTGGAAATTCTGACCGGGTTTTGTGCACTGAAACACTTCCTTTCAGACCTGAGGAGTCATCATGTGCCTGTCCGCACAGACAACACATCAGTGGTCTCCTACATCAACCGCCAGGGGGGTCTGCGTTCGCACCAACTATACAAGTTGGCACACCAGATCCTCAAGTGGGCTCGGGGAAAACTCCTCTCACTCAAAACAGTCTACATCCCTGGGCACCTGAATCAGGGAGCATACACCCTGTCAAGACAGAGACTGAGGCCTGGGGAATGGAGGCCCCACCCTGATGTGGTGGAGCAGGCGGTGAATCTATGTGCGTCTTGAGACTTCACTCTATCCACTCTGGTTCTCCCTCTCACATCCAGCTCCTCTCGGACTGGATACCATGGTTGAGGCTGCATCTGTATGCCTTTTCCCCGAATGCTCTGCTCCCGGGAGTTCTGGAGAGAGTCCGCCAGGACTGGGTCCATCCATTTCTAGTAGACCCATTCTGGACAGCCCGAGATTGGCTCTCGGACCTAGTGTCCCTCCTCAATGGCTCTCCCTAGGAGATTCGGTTTCACTTTATTTTAATGGTCCCTTTAACACATTCTGTTGACTATAAGTAACGTTGCACCTACATGTCTACTAACTCTCATTAGAGTATTAGTAGACTATTAGTAGACAGGTAGGGTTAGGGTTAGAATAAGTTGACATGTACTTGCAAAGTTACTTATAGTCAGTAGAA